CACATTATGATAATCCCTCCTGTGGTGCCTGTGGTCGGAAGGGCTGCCCAATTTCTGCCTTTTGTTCCCCAAATTGATATTACCAATCTCCTATCCACGGATTCTTTTTCTGTTTCCTGCAAGAGGATTATGTCGGGATTCTCTCTTCTCAACTTGTCTTTCACTATGCTTCTCTTTACATCACCACCCAACCCCCTTACGTTCCAGCTCAATATCTTCATTTGTTAACTCTAGCTGGCTTTCCCTTAATCTTCTACTCTCTTCCCCTTTGCTATCTGCATTCTGGCCCCTTATCCCCCATTGCAAACGCTTTAATTCCCTATTGATTCCCTTTCTTTTTCCTTTCTTTATACCGATTACTTCCTTGGACTCACTATCTTCCTTTGTGTTCTTTCTTTCCAAGCTCAAAATCCCATTGGTTCCGCTATAGTGAATTCCTAGTTCCCCTTCCATCTCTATGACTTCAGATATTTTCTGTTTCTCCTTTTCTTGGCTTGCTGTAGCTTTGGCCCTTGCTATGACCAGTGAAGTTTCCTTTGGACCCGAACTGCGATTGTGAAATCTAGGATTGTCCAACGGTTGGGATTGCCGGTCGCCTGAACCTGGATCACAAGTAAACAAATGGCTATAGTGAGATGAAGGAAAGCTACAATGAAGAAAAGAACAAGAACAATCGAGGTTTGAATAAGAACAAGGAAAGCCAGGGTTTGAATAAGAGCGAGATTTGGATGAGGTTGTGTTCAAAGAGAGCGGTGAAGTTCTTCCTTGTCTGTCCTCATGGCTTCTGTAAGTAGGCAACTGAATCCCATATTCTGGATCGACTAAACAGACTTCTTCCAACAAATCGACACACCCCCACTCCTTTCCCCCGTCCAGGAGAGCTTTGGCTCTGGATAGCGTCACTTCCTACGGATCAACCTCTGTCTCTGTCTTGTAGGTGCTCGAAACTTCATCTGAGTCCAACTCTTCTACTTCTTCTGACCAGCTTGACGATGGGTACTCGATTGTTGGTGACCGGAGCACTTCTTTTTGGCGAGATTTTGTGCTTGGGGGGGTTCAGGGAAGTCCCGTCCAGTGTATGTGGGAGTCGAAGAGAGGCTATGCGTGTGAATATCTTGGCATGTGCGAACTACTTGAGGTGGTTGTGTTCGGCTTGATAAACGGCTAGGATTCCTAGTCGGATCAATATTATGCTGACGTGGCTCATTCAAACCCGAAAGAGAACCCACTTTCTCTGAGCTAAGCCTCCAAGCTGAGGCTCCTTTTGAAATTTGAACAGGCTTCCTAATCTGGCTATTTAAGGTAAACTTTCTTGCTTCCTCTCTCTTTCTTTTTCCCGATAGAGTAAAAGCCCGCCTATTCCTGACTCCATCCATCCCTTTAGGTCCCGCCACATGTTTTCCTTCCTTTGCACGTAACCGGCCTGCCCCATCTCCTGGTTGGTCGGGGGTCGTAGAACTCACACGGGTTTGCGTACCGTTGCTCCAAGATGACTTAACGAGTTTGGTATTTGACTCGGTTGTCTTCTCCACTATGACCGAAGCAAAAAACTAGACGTTCCTGTCGAGGATTGGTATTGAACGAGGGATAGAGTGTATTCCTCGGTTTTTCACCTTCAGACGAGCCTCCCTCAAATCAGTCAAATTTTTTGTTTTTGGATCAACTTCTTCTAGTCCTCCGCACATACTTCTGATCAGCTCGAAGACTTCCTCCTTCCACAAATGAAACGGGAGTCCATGAATGGTGATCCATCCATCAAATAGTAAATCTGCGGGAATTGCATTTACAGTTGGCCACCAACGGTTTAGCTTCACCCAACTTCCGTACATGTAGAGACTCCCCATTCTAGCCCAAGCAAAAGCTAGGTCTTTAGAAGGAGCGAACCCCACAACTTTGTTGCTAGAGAAAGGGTAAAGACGGATGTGGGTTGGAGAGTGGAGGTTTGCCGAGAGGCCGAGTTCGATTTCGTTCCAGCCCAATTCGTCAGTTCTGGTGCACACAAAAGCATTTTTCCTAGAAGCAAATGGTCTTTCTTGGGTGGCGATAGAGATAGGGGCCGAACCTCTAGCCTTCACAACTCTACTCCGCCCAATCGTCAGTGATGGGAAAGCAGCCGGGGTTTCAGAGGCTGAAGGTCCAAGCTTAGGGATGAAAGAGTCTAACACCTCGCAAAAAATCTTCCAACCTAACTTCTTTTCTTCTTTCGGGATGCAAATTGACCTTTGTTTTTTGTTGAGTTCCCAAACACTTGAACGGATGAATCTACCCCAACGATTTTCACTTTGTTGAATTAATAACACCTTCCCCCTGTGAGCGTGTTTACGCTCTTTAACTAATCCCATTTGCGTGGAGATTACCTCTCGGAGGAAATCTCTCACCTAGGTCGTCTCCTCTACTTTTAGGGATATTCTCGTCCAACCTCCCTTTCCTCTCTCTGTAAGCAATTAAAAATCATCTTGTTTGAAAGGTTTTGTGTTGAACTCAAAGGATTTTGAACCGATTTCTATTGACTTTCTCATCGTTGTAGTATTTAGGACTTGTCGTAGGTTTCCAGAGTTGACAGTCTCCGATGATCACCCATGAACTTCTGCAATTACTGCTTTTCAAGAAGTGATTGATAAAATTGAGCAAAAGATTGCATTATTATAAAAAACTAGATATATTATATATATGCAATATACATGCATATATACATGCCATAAATACATAGTATAGATATACATATACATACAAATATACATAATATACAGATTGGTGGGTTTGGATGGGCTTGGACTATCTGAGGCCTCAATCCAAGCCCAACTTGAGTTTAGGTTAAGCCTGAGTTTTCTAGCCTAGGTGATAAGCCCAATAAAAAAGAAAAAAAAGAAAGAAAAGAAATGATGTAAAATGTTCTAACTTGTTTGTTTTGAGGTAGGATTCCAAATAGTTATTTTTGGGTAATTTTCTTCATTTCATAATTTAGATTTTGGTTAGGGGTAGTTGGGTGCACATCTATTAGATTTTGGTCTATTTGGTGTTTTTGTAACAAAAGTTATCTTTTGTGTAAATATTTTAGTTGGCTTCTCCTGCAAGCCATTGAGTCTTATAGAAGAGAAGGGGATATTTTTGTGGGGGTCTTTTTGATTCTTTCTTTCTTATTTGAGAAGCAACTCATCCCCAACTAGGGTTTTCAAGTACTTGGAGTTTCGGTTTTGAGAAATCGACCTATTTGGCACCTTCCAATCCCTCTAATGGTGTGTCCATGCAAGAGGCCAGCTTGACACCATTGTTACTAAGAATCCAACGTGTTTTTGTTGTTTTCAACTTTGTATTGTTGTACTCTTGAAGTGCTGCATATATCTTGCTTTTCTGTCCACATCAGTAGGCCTTGTTGGAGTAGTAAACTCAATCTCAACCTATGCAAAAGCTTGGGTTGGCTTGGTTTCAAGGTTTAGAGTATTGGAAATGCCAAGTGTATCAGAAAGACAAATTTAAGAGATGTATCGGGATACGCCTTGGATACACGTGGATACGGACGAAAAATTAAGATACACAAAGAAACACTATAGATAATCCAATAAATCATAAAAATACATCAATAACATTAAAAATACATCAATAAAACCCTTTAATGATCATTATGAAAAAAGATATAATAAACATTTGGGAACATAAGGGTATTCTCTAATAAGGTTATAACTACGAAATATAAGTCTAATAATTATTTAATGAAAAATTTCTGTAATTTTTTTAACAATTATTTATTTATTATTCAAACAATTATTTTATTTTTTATTCCAAAAATAAAAAAAATGTAACAAAAAAATTACTCTATGGATGTGATAGATCATCCATAGATTTACAACATAGTAAATATTATGGTTAGATCACACAAAAAATTAGAAAACATAAATATTTTTTATTCTAAAATTACAAAAAGTTTTAAAAATAAATATTTCACAAAAATAAATATTTAAAAAAATAAATATTTTACAAAAAATAAATGAAATAAATATTCTACAAGAAATTTCACTAGATCTATGGATATGGTAGATCACCCATAGGTCTATGACACAAGGAGAGTACATCAATGTATATATGATTTTATATTTTTCTGAATTTTATATTTTTGTTATTTTTATATTTTTCTGAATTTTCTTCAAAAACTTACATAAATATATTTAAAGTACAAAAAAATATAGGACTTTCAACGCAAGAAGAGTATATCGGTGTATATAGAAGCATTTCCAAGCATCAAAACCAGAAAAAAAAAGTAAACATTGCAACATATTATCAAATAAATTGAAAACACCTATTTTTGCAATTTTTGAAAAACTTAAAAAATCTTGAGTTTTGGAGGTTGTTTTTGGGGATTTTTTAAAGATCTTGCAACCCAAGAATGTGTAGGGATGATTTGGTGAGTTTGGGAGACAAAGAAGGCTTTTGGATAGAGTTAGAAGCCTCTTTTTCAAAGGTTTTGAATTTGTTTCACTTACAGGAAAGTCGTACTGTATCAGCCAATACACCCCAATACGGCTATAATACGGTCCTGATACACCCCGATACGGGGTTGGCACGACGAAAAGGCATGACACAAAGGATTTTGTAATTTTTCTGGTGACGACTCCTTAAAGATACAATATGTATTGGTTGATACGGGCCGATATGTTGCGAAATTTTCAACCTTGCTACTTATCATAAATTTTTTTTTGAACCTTGCTTGGGATATGCCTGTATGTGTTGCAGCCCTGGAAAATGGTTTTGGTGTTTTCCTCTAGACACAGATAAGCTTTGGTTGAAGCCCAAGTAATTCACAACTAACTTTGATTGTCATCTCCTCTATGTTGCACATCGGTAACTTTCCTTCTTTCTCTGGGTAAGAGATGAATTATATCCCATATAATGCCTTTTCCTTATTTTATTGGACTTTCTGATTTTCCACTCTTGTTTTTCTGTTATACTCTTGATTTTGCTGCCAATTGATGGTTGACACTTTTTTTTTCTTTTGTTTGCTGCAGGTACCTCAAAGAACGAAAAATTCTTGATGGTATCTCATTTGTTGTACCGACAGGGAAAAGTGTAGCTATTGTTGGAACCAGTGGTAGTGGTAAGGCTTTAGAGGTGGCATAATTGTGAAGTTGGCATCTCAGCTGTACAAGCAATTTAATAATTTGGCACTGTTTTTAGACTTGCCAATCTCTATATGATGTGGTAGCCAAAGTTTTACATGTTCTACAAGCAATTTAAT